TGCCCCCCCCCCCCCCCCGATGAAACCAAGATAATGATGTCTTGCCGCTGATAAAATTGATATAGATGTCAGGTACGGAAGATATGGCTCATCAGATATTAACTGCACAGGTAATTCAAAGATTTTCTGTGTAATTTATACGCTAGGTGGATTAGTGTAAATCCATGATAAGAATAAATCGTGGAGCACTGTGCTTTGAGAGTATATTCTGTACTCATTTCCACAGAAAGAGGGCTGGTTACATTCCAGAAGCGCTCCTATATAGATGTCAGGTACGGAAGATATGGCTCATCAGATATTAACTGCACAGGTAATTCAAAGATTTTCTGTGTAATTTATACGCTAGGTGGATTAGTGTAAATCCATGATAAGAATAAATCGTGGAGCACTGTGCTTTGAGAGTATATTCTGTACTCATTTCCACAGAAAGAGGGCTGGTTACATTCCAGAAGCGCTCCTATCTTTACTGAATGAGAGCTAATTAGGTGCAAAACAAGTCACATGAAATCCCCCAGACAGGAGAGGCTGGCCAGCTGTCGTTGGTTCCCCTACCCCCACACTGACTGGCAGTGGGGAGGAGGCAAGCACAGCAAAACAGCATCAGCTTGTGCTGCTCTCTGACTACATCGCTTTTGGGGAGTGCGGGGTTGGTCCCAAGAGCTGGGGCTGCCATGCTGCACTTTTTCTGATGCTGCTGGTGAGCAGGCATGGGAGAGGGCAGCCCAGACCCCTGAGGGGCTGGCCAGCAGGGGGACTAGCAACTGGAAGGCTAGTACTGGCAGCATGGGTTTGTGCAGCCACCCCCACCTGCACTCACCAGCAGTGACAAGGGAACATGGAGAATATGTTTTAAAGCAGGGGTATTCAATACGTGGCTCTCCCATTTGTTTGTGGCCCGCGGTGCAGTTTGGGTTTATGCGGGACTCAACATGTGGTCCACAGGTGGGAGCAAAAATGAAGAAGTAGTCAATATAATGGTCTTCTGTTGTTATGCATTTTAGTAGTTAAGTTCCTGGGCTGTCATTGCTCATTAAAAGTGCTGTCATATGGGTGGAAATCGGGTAAATATTGCATTTTATTAATATCCGCAGAACTGACTTCAATGGGGCCTTCATGTTGCCTTAATCTTTGTATTCATTTCTGTCAGTATGAAAGAAGCTATTTGCATGTATATGCAACCACGCTTAAGTTGCGGCCCTCAGCATGTGGTGTGAGAATCGTTGTGGACCCTGGAGCTTACAAAGTTGAGTAGCCCTGTTTTAGAGCATGGTCTTTCCTTCCAGAATGTTAATTATAAACCCAGTGTAAAACATGCCAAGTTAATGTTTAAAAAAACCCAACCACTGGTATGCCTTGAAGGAAAGGTGTGGAGTAGGAGTATGATTTGAGGAGGAGGCAATTGGAAAGGCACAGTGAGACATGCAACACCCAGCAAAAGCTTATAAGAAATAGCTCCTTGTCTAATTTAGGGCTTGGCATTTTCATTCTTAGAATTTGGAGAGAACCTGATGTATCATCAGTAGCTATTTTGCTGCAGTACAGAAATGTCTAATCAAATTCACTCTAGCTCTCTGTTGAATCTACCTGGTGCTAGAGGGAAAGGATGCTGTTGAAGTTAGGCCACTGGGCTCATAGGGATCGGACCCCTGCTTGCCCGTCTCCGTGGCCCGTGAGTTCCACCTGGGAGCCCAGACGGAGGAGAACCTTAGTGCCCCTTCGGTGCTGAGGGTCAAGCTGCGCCAGTTCCTCACAGATAACTGCGGGGCCAAGGGCAAGGTGCAGCTCGCCCTTCAGCGCTGGGGGGACTTTCATGCCATTCTTCAGGCCACCAGAGCCATTTTGCAGGAGGGGAGAGGGACCAATAGGTAGGACGGCGCAGCCTACTGCCGGACTCACAGATTCCGAGACGCTCTCCTGACCTTCGGGGCAGAGAGCGG